AAGGTTTGTGACCTCTAAAGGTTTGTAACCTCTAAAGGTTTGTGACCTCTAAAGGTTTGTGACCTCTAAAGGTTTGTGACCTCTAAAGGTTTGTGACCTCTCAAGGTTTGTGACCTCTAAAGGTTTGTGATTAAATATTTAAAAATTAAGGTTGAGTAAATATAGGGTTCTGTGCAAAGTATAATTGCTCATTGGGAGAAAAATTATGAAATGAAATTATGATTATTTAAATTAAATTATTATGTTTACAGATTTGCAAACAAGGATTACTTAACGAGCGACGACCTCCAGGTCTTCTTGGAGGGCGAACAAAGGGTGAGTATCACCTCTGAATTGAGAATAATATTCTGTTTAAATGTCTCTTATTTTTACGAACTCGTAGATCATTTATTATCATTAAAAAATTTTTTATCCACGTCAATACTTAGAAATTACGATTGTACGTACTACATTATTCGTACATGATATTGTACGGCATTGAATTGTACCCCAGTACCCCAGTACCCAGTACCCCAGTACCCCAGTACCCAGTACCCCAGTACCCAGTACCCAGTACCCCAGTACCCAGTACCTAGTACCCAGTACCCCAGTACCCAGTACCCCAGTACCTAGTACCCAGTACCCCAGTACACCAGTACCCAGTACCCCATTACCCAGTATCCAGTATCCCAGTACTCAGTACCCAGTACCAGTACCCCAGTACCCAGTCCCCCAGTAACAGTACCCAGTCCCCCAGTAACAGTACCAGTACCCAGTACCCCAGTACCAGTATCCAGTACCCAGTACCCAGTACCAGTACCCCAGTACCCCGGTGTTGCAGATGTCTGGCGTGGGGGCGGCGCAGATCGAGGCTCTCATCGCGCGCTATGAGCCGTCGGCGGAGGCGCGGGCGAACCTGCAGCTCCACGTTGATGGTTAGTGACGGACAGCAACTTTTAGTGACGGACAGTGACGGATAGTGACCGACAGCAACGGTTAGTAACAGACAGTGACAGTTAGTGGCGGATAGTTACGGACAGTAACGGTTAGTGACCGCCAGTGACGGCTACTTTGCGCGTAAACGGCGCAACTTGTGACAGCAACTCAAGCCTGGCCAGACACTGATTATAATTATCGGGCTAGTGGCTTCGTGTGGAAGCGCAGTGGCGTCTTTAGGGGATAATATCGAGAGTCGGCCAGTTGCTGGTCACGTGACTAACTATCGTAGCTGGTCACGTGACTAACTATCGTAGCTGGTCACGTGACTAACTAACATACAGTTAGTGGATAAATTATTTTATTGGGATAATATCCGGTTGGATGCGGAATATCCCATTCTTCAATTGCGACTTGTGTCATTTCCTGCCGATTCTTGGGAGCCTGATTATTGATTCCAACTTTACATTCTTGCCACAAATTCTCAATTGGGTTCAAGTCGAGGATATTTACTGGCCATGGACGAAGAGTCGCCTTCGTTTTATTAAATCAAGTGGTCGTCGCTTTCGACGCATGCTTTGAATCATCTTGATGAAAGAACCATCGTCTTTCAAGACCCAACTTCAGAGCGGGTGCATGCAAGTTTTTCTTCAAAGCCGCTGTAAAAACATCAGAGTTTATTATTTCATCAATTGAAACTTACTATTGCCATATAAGGAGAAACAACCACAATGCATTATTGACCCACCCCCATGTTTAACTGTAGGGATTGTGTTCTTAATTTTGAAAGAAAACCTCCCTTTTTTTCTGCCAAATCTTTTTCGAGTTATTATGTCCAAATTGTTAAATTTTTGTTTCGTCACTCCATAAAACTTGGTTCCTAAAGCCTTTCTTTTTATCCACGTAAGATCTTGCGAATGTCAAACGAGCAGCAACATGACGTGTGAAAAGTGGGACTCATCTGCGGGGGACGGGGTACTGGGGTCTGCGTCCATGCAGGCCATTTTCGTTATGAGAACGCTGTATACATATAACACGCTGGCTCAGGCTTATCCTTTCAATGGCTAATCTATTGGCAATGCCCTTCAGCACCACTCTTGGATTCATATTTCAACAAACTCTTGGATTCATATTCACCTCCCGACACAGTTTTCGAACTGATCGTTCATATAGTTTTGGCTTCCGTCCTCATCCAGGCAACGTGTGTGCGCCGTGCGGCACCAAACTGTACGAACTTCTTTATCTCCGACTGTACAGTGGCTCTTGGAATATTCAGGCACTGCGAGATGCACACATAACCGTTGCCAGATTTGTGTAGGTCAATAATTTTGCTTCTCAGATCCACACTGAGCTCCTTCGTCTTGCCCATCTTGAAGTTTGCAATTAAATGGCAGGAACTGACACCTCTTGAATGACGTCACCGATTATAGTGTCCACCGGGATAATATCAAACCGGATACCACTGCGAATCTCATCAAAAACTATAGAAAGAGACCGTTGGAAGTTACCAAGATGAAAGGACGTGCCATAGATTATTAACATTGCAACTATGCTAGTATTTACCAACTGTTCGAGTAATTCTGTCTGAAGGTGTTTGGAAATTTTCGCATGTTAAACGTTTCGAAATTTCATTCTGTTCTGAAAGTGTGGTGCTATTTTTCCTATTACTTACAGCTTGGTTCAATCAAATATTGGGCTTATATATTCACAAATTTTCGAGTTATTCAAGAAAACATTAAAGAGGTAAGGTGTACGAATAATTTCGTCGCTACCTGTAGTTGGTATTGTAACTAAATAAAGTGGCTGGTGACAGGGTTGCCAGGTGGTATTTTTTGCGGACAATTTCTGCGATTTAAATTTTTCAATTGCGTTGGCCGGTAAAAATTTATGATGGGAGTACTTCCTTATCAAATAATAAAAAGTCATAAAAAAAGTAAAATGAAATTTTTACCTACAAGTATACTAGTATACGTATATATCGAATTAATGGCTTTTTTGTCCGCGGACGTTGCAGTTTTTTAGGCTATCTGGCAACCCTTACTGGTGACACTGGTGACGTAACTAACGGCCGCCTGATGAGCTGAGAGTTATGGCAGCTTAGGTCCTTATTATAGATCAACGGTTCGCTTGTACTTTACTTCGATTCATTGTAGCGCCGAACAAAATCTGGTGAATACGTTTTACGCATCGCCATTTTTCGATATAACATTCATTGCTGACGGTTGTATTAATTTTTTGAAGTTTGTAACTTCATAATACCAGATACATTAGTGAATGAAATTTTACAGCTATTTTTCGTTACAGTTATTGGCAATTCTACATGACATCGAAACAATTTATTGTACAATTAATTTTAATGTACTCCTTCAATTACTATTAAGTCACGTTCAAATGGCGGTAACTCTCTTTACCAGTTACTTAAACATTAATTACATTGCCTACAGTTGAGGGACCCGTAACCAAGACTAGATTCTAGCTTATAATTGTATCAATTTACTTTGAAAAATCTAATTAAACTCGTTTTTGTGTAGCGTTGTAATCCACTAATGATTTTTTGCTGATCTTCAGGAATAATTCGTAAATCGGGTATGTGACATGCGAGGCGACAAAATTAGCCAGTGACTAAAATTGTCAACAAAGCTGCCTGTCAGCTGCTTGTACAGACTCGTACTGACGACCATAAATGAAAAATACATATAGCTGTACATGCCTCGTATTTAAGCCTACTCACCGGTAAAACTAGTGACGGCGACTTATAAACGTAAGTAATTAGTACTAATGAAAGCGGTTCAACACATAGATTCATTTAGTGGCTGTTTGTGACAGCAACTGACGGGTAGTTACTGTAAGTTATTAGCATTGATGGGCAGCGACCGGCAGTGACGGGCTGTATAGTACCATTGAACATTTATTCGTACCAGTTCTCTACCCACGTTCCCCAAATCCCTCCTCCCCTACCTACTCAACTCCTAACATGCCCCCTTCCTACCGTCCCACCCACGGCAGGCTTCACAAAGTACCTGCTCAGCGACGAGTGCGACGTGTTCGACCCACAGCAGCGCAGCGTGAGTCAGGACATGACGCGGCCGTTGACAAACTACTTCATCTCGTGCAGCCACAACACCTTCCTGCTGGAGGACCAGGTCAAGGGTCCCTGCAGCATCGACGGCTACATCAGGGTTCTCACCTGTGGCTGCCGCTGCGTCAAAGGTGAGTGCTCACCTGGGTGCCCAACTGAACATGTGTTCGACCTCACCTGCGACACTAGTGGCGAGAAGAAAGCAACAGCATCGTGAATCAGCTGGCCCTAATGAGAGCGGGTGCGCGATAGTCAGAGGCGGCTATCCATCGTGGCCTGGGAGTGCTGGGACATAAGGAATACTAAGAATGTGAAATCTTATGCCTACGACACTTAGGAGGTATTGCGGGCGTTGTTAAAGAAGCGAATTTCATGTGGTGAGCTTCTGGACAGGTGATGTTACGCAATTGAGCATATGCAATCTTGATCTCTTAGACTTTTAAGATGCTGTGAGCGTGACTATGATAGCAAATATGTTCATGTAGTGAGTAGCAATACGGGAATATTGATCTACTGAGCATGTGCAATAGAGTAACGGTGATCTTTTTGAGGGTGACTGGATTTGAATATCATTTGGGTGTCTTCATCCTGACATAAGATTTGATTTTTGGACTTCTTACGTTTTGAAATTCGTTTCAAACGAGCGCTTGCTGCAAAACATAAAATAAATAAATTAATTCGCAATGTAATCAATTATATTTCCGCACTCGTGTATTTTAGAGAATATAATGAGAAAGATCCAGATCTGTTATTACGGTTTCTTTTCTCGCCATGTCTGTTATTACAATTATTGCCTTGCCTTATCTGTTATTACAAACATTGTCCTGCTGTGAGTAAGGCAAACGGGGTGCGCGATGAGAAGTTACGGCCATTTATTACTTGCATTATGGAAGAGCGATGCGAGCTCATAAGCAACATGCAGATGACCTCAAGTGGTCATTACGAGCTCCTGTCGTGCTGACTTGTAGAGCCGAGGATTGCCAGCGTGCACCGGTTATTGCCAGCGTGCACCGAACAGACTTCACAAAGTACCCGCTCATCTCCTAACATGCCTTCTTTCTACCGTCCTACCCACGGCAGGCTTCACAAAGTACCTACTCAGCGACGAGTGCGACGTGTTCGACCCACAGCAGCGCAGCGTGAGTCAGGACATGACGCGGCCGTTGACAAACTACTTCATCTCGTGCAGCCACAACACCTTTCTGCTGGAGGACCAGGTCAAAGGTCCCTGCAGCATCGACGGCTACATCAGGGTGCTCACCTGTGGCTGCCGCTGCGTCAAAGGTAAGTATCTGGATGGGAACTATTGCATAACTGAACATGTGATCGTCCACCCCTGCAACACTACTAGTGGCGAGAAGCAAGCAACAGCATCGTGCATCAGCTGGCCCTAATGAGAGCGGATGTGCGATAGTCAGAGGAGGCGATCAATCGTGACCTGGGACTGGGATATCACTGATACTAATAATGTGAAATCTTATGCCTACGAGACTTGTGAGGAGGTATTTCGAGCGTTGTTAAAGAAGCGAATATCATGTGGTGAGAATCTGGACAGGTAATGCATGTTGAGCAATTGAGCATGTGCAATCTTGACTAAGAGTCTTCTAAGTCGCTGTGAGCGTGCCTATGATAGCAAATATCATGTTCATGTGATGAGTACCGATACGGGAATGTTGATCTACTGAGCATGCGTAATAGAGTAATAGTAATATTTGCGAGTTCTTTTGAGGGTGACTTTAGATGTAAATATCATTTGGTGGTCTTCATCATGACATAAGATACGTTTCTTACGTTTTGAAATTCGTTTCAAACTAGTGTATGTAATAGAACATAAAATATTGCATTAATCAGCATTTTAATCAATTAGATTTCCGCGTTCGTGTATGTTAGAGAATATAATGAGAAATAAATTTCCAAATAATCGCCATAAATAAAACCGTGCTATTTCAGGCACTAAATTTCTCATACGTTCGAATAATCCAATATTTCCCAGAGGATTTTCCTTCGGTGAAGGCAAAGCAATATCACCAACGTTGCGATTGGAGACAAATTACAAAACCACGAACCAAAAAGACTTTTTAGCGTATTTTCTCATTTATGGAAAAAAGGCGCTATTGTGCTCGTCATGTCCGTCCGTCCGTCCATCCGTCCGTCTGTCCGTGACTTCACGTTTTCATCGATTCTGAGAAAATGTGCTCTCTGTCACTCACTGCAGTGAGTACTGAGTTATATTTTTTCTTATTACGGTCATAGTCTAGCCAGATCTCTTATTACGTTATAGTCTCGCCAGATCTGTTATTACGGATTTGTCTTGCCTAATCTGTTATTGCGGATTGTAGCTCGTCAGACCTGTTATTACGGTTATTGTCTCGCCAGATCTGTTATTACGGCTATAGCCTCTCCAGATCTGTTATTGCGGATTTTAGCTCGCCAGATCTGTTATTGCGGATTGTAGCTCGCCTGATCTGTTATTGCGGATTTTAGCTCGTCAGATCTGTTATTGCGGATTTTAGCTCGTCAGATCTGTTATTGCGGTTATTGTCTCGCCAGATCTGTTTTCATGGTTATCGACTAGCCTAATCGGTTATTGCAAACATTGCCCTGCAGTGAGTAAGGCAAACTCGACGAGCTATGAGAAGTTACGGCCATTCATTATTTGCATTATGGATGAGCAATGCGAGCTCATAAGCAACGTGCAGATGACCTTAAGTGGTCATTACGAGCTCCTGTCGTGCTGACTTGTAGAGCCGAGGATTGTCAGCGTGCACCGGTTATTGCCAGCGTGCACCGATTATTGCCAGCGTGCACCGGTAGACATGCGCGACCCGTTACCGGCACGCTAGTAATTCACCTGCTCGTAATCAAGTAACGGGCCTTATACGTTGCCGGCACGCTTGTAATTCACCTGCTCGTAATCAAGTAACGGGCCTTGTACGTTGCCGGCACGCCTATAATTCACCTGCTCGTAATCAAGTATATAACGGGCTATTCCAGTGGACGTCCACGACGGGCCGACAGAGCCGCTGGTCTACAACGCACGGGCCCACACGTCTCACGTCACCTTCAGGGACGTCATGGAAGCCATTGCTACTTTCTCCTTCGATTTTTCTCCGTCAGTATTTTTATTCTTTATATGTTCCTTATACAAGGTGAGTCACGGCAACTTCCTGACCTAAAAGCTTGATAAAAAATAACTTGTCAATAAATCGTTACATTGTAATTTTTATTGAAATAGAAATCACCCGAATTTTTTATATCGCTTAGTTTTGACGGCCCCTATTGTCAATGCATTCAGTTCTATTTCTAAAGTTCCGTCCAACTCGCTGAAGCATATATTGACGGGTATGTTGGCGATGGCTTGGCGGATGTTATTCTTCAAATGAGGTAGAGTCCTTGCACAGTCATTGTAAACAATTTATTTTAGATAACCTCATAAAAACTCACACGGAGCCAAATCGGGCGATCGAGCTTGCTAAAGAAGGTCAGCTCTCAAGGAGGTCAGGCGCTCTGCAAAATGTTTTCTCAGAAGATCCATTGAACATTGCGCTTTGTGGGCCGTGGCTACATCTTGTTAGATCCAGACATCCCTGAAATTAATTTCAGCAAGTTTTAGCAAAAATAGGCGTCAATTGTTTGCATGTACCGAGCAGCAGTCACCGTTACTACGCATTCGTTTTCTTCAAAGAAATAAGGGCCAATTATGCTGACTACTAACACCGCACACCACATAGTTACGCGTGGTGTGGTGACAACGTTATCAAGTCGGCTTAATAACAATTATCAATTGTTATTATGCCGACATTTGAGACCATTATCAATTGTTTAAAATGACTGTCCAAGGACCCTAACTCATCTGAAGAACAAGATACGCCAAGCCATCGCTAATATACCCATCAATGAGTTGCAGCGAGTTGAAGGGATTTTCAAAAATCAACTAACTGAATGCATTGACGGCATGGGGGCCGTCATTTGTCCAATGTCATCCTTAAAAAAGTGATTTGAAAATAAGGGAATGTCTTCTTCAATAAAATTTACATTAAAATGATTTGTTACTAGTTCTTTTTTATTGAGCTTTTAAATCAGGAAGTTTCCGCGAATCACACTGTACTTAATTGTATTCTCTTAGCTTTTGAAATATTTCGTAGTGATTTTTCAGCCATTTTTTCGCCAATATTGTTACAAATACAGGATAGTATCCCACTAAACCCCTTTATAAGATTGCCAGTTTCTCGCTTGACCTCTTTTTGTGACCTCTTGTTTCACTCTTATGTAGACTCTAGCTACCCGTTACCATTGTTCTCCTCAGCTACCTGTTACCCTTGTTCTAACAGTCACACTCGTTCCCCAGGTACCCAGTCATTGTGCACTTGGAAACGTACTGCAGCCTTTCCCAGCAGAGAGTTATGGCCGATATCCTAGAGACGGTCCTCGGGCCCTTGCTGTATAGGCCTAACGAGGAGGTCTCAGCAATCGAATTGTCACCTCACCTCCTGAGGCACAAAATCTTGCTCAAGGTGAGTGAGCCTCTGGAGTTCTGGATTCTCTATAGTAGTCCCCGATCCTCTGCGTCTGGGTTCTGTATTATTCCACTAGCCTAAACGTCTACAATCTATAGTAGTCCCCGAGCCTAGGCGTCTGAGTTCTGTAGTATTTCACTAGCCTATGCGTCTGGGTTCTGTAATATTTGACTAGCCTAAGCACCTGGGTTCTGTAGTATTCCACTAGCCTAAGCGTCTGGGCTTTGTAGTGGTGCCCGAGCCTCTGCGACTGGGTTCGGTAGTATTCTACTAGCCTAAGCACCAGGGTTCTGTAGTATTCCACTAGCCTAAGCGTCTGGGTTCTGTAGTAGTCCCCGAGCCTCTGCGTCTGGGTTCTTTAGCAGTCCCCGAGCCTCAGCATTTGGGACCTGCAGTAGTCCCAGAGCCCCAGCGAATGGCTCTGTAGAAGTCCCCGAGCCCAGCGTATGGGTTTTGTTGTGGTTCCCAAGCCGTCCTGAGATACAAAATGTTGCTCAAGGTGAGTGGGCGACTTGGGGCTGGATTCTCTTGTAGTCCACGAGTACACCGCTAATTTTCTCGTACACCGTTGATGAACTTGTGCAAGGGTGGGAGTTGTATCGAAGAATCGTAATTCGTAGCGCCCGCTACTTCTAGAATATACCAAACAGCTAGCCTACGTTCATGGCTTAGGAGCTGCAGACCGTGCTGACGTGGAAGACGAATTCCGAAATACTCTTTGCCGTCCGGTTTTGTTGCTTATATGCGCAGCCATTGCTTTTACTTTAGCCTACTCAGAGTAGAAATGCACTCACCCTCATGCTAGATTGCCCAGATTGCGAGGTCTTGTGATCAAACCATATCCTGCTTTTAAATGCTCGACGACTTTAGACAACTCTCAACTTCCAATTTCGCAAAAACTATATTCAATATTATGAATGTGAGTAAAGTAGTAACTACCCCCGCCCTATTTAGCGCCCATCGTCAAATTAATAAATATCGTACAAGTGACCACGGTCAGTAATATCATAGATAGTTTACAAGTTTGTATCTCTGTCAGTCAAACACTGATAGCGATTCATGATATGATTAACCCTCCAATCATTAACGCTAAATTTACAGCTACGTGTACCTAGGCCGCTACGCGTACTGGGTAGCTACGCGTGCTTGGGCCGCTACGTGTACTTTCGGTAGTGTATTCATCGAAATTTTTGGTAGTATACTCCTCGAAACCAAATCTAACTTCCCCCCCCCCCTCACTCATCTTTTTCACAGGAACAAAGGTCGATAACAAAAGGTAATATCTGATTTTTTCCACAAGGGTAAGAAGCTACGTGACGAAAGTGTGTGCGAGGGCGACGTGAGCGACGAGGATGACGAGGGTAACGAGGGCAAAAATTGCGGCAAACCCTTTCCAAAGCGGCAGCTCTGTGTGGAATTGAGTCGACTCATAGGACTCAATCGACGGAGATACGATGAACGAGGTGAGTGAGCTGGGTAAATGGAAATGGGAGATTGAGGTCGTGATGGTGAGAGAGGTGGGTATGTCTTACAGGTCAATTAGTTAATTATGGTGGTGTTGCAATGTTGAGAAGAAATGTGGGTTTTACGTAGGGTTTTATTATGGTAGCACTGCCAAGTTTGTGAAAGAGGGGGTATGGTGGTACTGCGAAGTTAGTGGTGAAAGAGGTGGGTATTTCAAAGGGATTGATTATGGTGGTAAAGCGAAGGAGGTGTCATTTGGCCTTGTGTGTGAGTTGAATTGTGTGGTAAAGGAATGAATTTGATTGTATGGGTGTATACTGATACTGAGATGAATACACTGAAATGAATGAATGTCTTAAGCTAGCTGCGAGATTACCGGTTCGAACATTTACGCTCTAAGTTCGTGTATTGTACATAAAATAACGACATGTCCATATGCGTAACTAAATCACTTACTGTTCTCTTATTTTACTATACTTAATTTTATTTCGTTTTCTTACTTGCTACTAATATGACTGCCTGCCTAAACCTAGAGTTGCCGGACTGCCAGAGCTTAAGCGAAAGCTCTGCTGCCCGGGCGTGTCAGAGCTGTCCAGAGCAACTGGTTAAACTGAACAAGTCTCTGCTGACGCGGGTTTACCCAGACGCCTCCAGAGAAGACTCGTCCAACTACAACCCCCAGGATTTCTGGAATGCGGGGTGTCAGCTGGGTGAGTTGAGGGATTCAAACGCTTGATATTTCTTCCATGAGGGATTCAAGCGCTTGATATTTCTTCCATGAGGAAATCAAACACTTCCAAGAGTGATTTCAATACTTTATGGCTCTCCCGAGATGGATTCAAACACTTGATTTCACTTCCACGGTAGATTCAAACTCTTGAAATCTCTTCCGTGAAGGATTCAAACACTTAATTGATGTCTCTTCCATGAGAGATTTAAACTCCCGATTTCTTTTCTATAAGGAATTACGAAACACGATGAAGTGATTACGCTTAAATTCATTGAATGCTAAACACCATCTGTCGGTAAGTTGAATTATAGATGAAGGTCATCATAAGCACGACTTCTTGTTTAATATAGATTTCAATTTGAATTAAAAAATTAAAGAGAGTAGCCACGGAGTGTTAGGCTTGCTTTATGGCAGCTTCTGATTTAAGATGAATATTACTTACTGAATACTGGCAGATTCTGTCGCGCTATCAGTCTTTGATTGGAAGGTCGCGCATTGTCTCCTGTAACTGCAGCGTCTCTACTCGCTGGGCCAAATTTTGCTTCATTCCCCGGTGTTCCTCAACTTCCGAACATTGGGTCACATTTCGCTTCATTTCAGTGTCCAATTCCAAATCACCGGGCTTTTTTCTAATTCATATCAGTGTCCCTCAACTTCCAAACAACGAGCCGCATTTCACTTCATTTCAGTTCTCTCAACTTCCAAACGTCAGGCCGCATTTCAGTCAATTTAAGGGTCCATCAACTTCGAAACGCCGGACCACATTTCATTTCAGTTTAATCAACTTCTACACAGCGGGCCAAATTACGCTTCATTTCAGTATCGCTCAACTTCCAAACACCGGGCCAAATGATGGACGTGTACGAAGGAAAGTTCCGGGCGAACGGTGGCTGTGGCTACGTCCTCAAGCCGGCCGTAATGCGCGACCACATCTCTGTCTTCTCCGTGGCCACCAAGGACCCCATCCCGGGGGTTATCCCCCAGCTCCTCAAGATAAAGGTCATTGATTTAAGCGAAAGGAAACGATTTTTGGAATTCGTTAAAATTATTTAATATGGTGGGGTTAGCGATTGATCGTTAACCACGGAAATCATGAAGTTTGTTGCTTGTGCCATCAGCTAACGCATTAACAAGAGCCGTTTACAAGTTGAACATACATACCGTTTTTGACGAGTTTTGACCTGTGCGATTTTGTACGAAAACTACGATTATTAGAAACTTCGCACGTTTTTACACGTCTTGCGAACATCTGACATTTTAGGTTAGATGAGTTTGGTAAGCTTACAAAAGTGGCTGAGCATATATACTGAGTAGCTGCCGAGCAAGTACGTTGACATAACATTTCTTTTAGTCATGCAATAAAAATGTAGACAATTAATTTTGATTCCTTTATTTATTCGCTTAGATCATCAGTGCACAGTCGCTGCCTAAACCGCGAGGTTCGACGGCGTCCAAAGCTTCGTTCGTGGACCCTTACGTTGTGATCCAAGTGTTCGGGATACCCGCAGACTGTAAAGGTAATCCAAGTGTTCGGGATACCCGCAGACTGTAAAGGTAATCCAAGTGTTCGGGATACCCATGTTCGGGATACCCGCAGACTGTAAAGGTAATACAAGTGTTCGGGATACCCGCAGACTGTAAAGGTAATACAAGTGTTCGGGATACCCGCAGACTATGAAGGTAATCTAAGTGTTCGGGATACCCGCAGACTGTAGGGTATGTGCCAGCATGATATGGGAACCGACAAGCGTGTAAAGCCAGTTGCTCGCTGCATTCACCGACTGATGTCCATTGCATATTTCCCGGTTCCCGATGTGCTTGAACGAAAAAGTTCGATCATATTATCCGTCACTTTATTCTGAATTGACTGTTCGCTTTTAGACACGATTTGAAAAATGATGTATCCTAAATTATTGGCTGACTGTTTTAAAAAATATTCTAACTGACATTTGTGATTATTCTAAAAATATTTTAATCACTTCTTAATCGATTGTTAAACAAATCTTCAACTACATTAATTTTTTGCAAAGGTTCACTGAAGTAGTTCGATATTAGTGAACAATTATGAAAATCAGCCTATCCGCAATCAAATATTCAACACAATACCTCTTGTACATCTGCCAATTTTTCAAGTTTTTTTCATTATCCCAAATTCCAGAATTCCAGACTCGGACTGTGAGGAACAACAGCAGATTTCCGGTGTTCGAGGAGAGCTTCAACATCGAGAGAGATGTGTTATGTGTGATGTAACACCTGTAGTGTTCGCTAGGTGAGACGTGTTATGTGTGATGTAACACCTGTAGTGTTCGCTAGGGGAGATGTGTTATGTGTGATGTAACACCTGTAGTGTTCGCTAGGTGAGATGTGTTATGTGTTATGTGACACTTGCAGTGTTCGCTAGGCGAGATGTGTCATGTGTTGTGTGACACTTGTAGTGTTCGCTAGGTGAGATGTGTTATGTGTGCCTTAACACCTCTAGTGTTCGCTAGGAGAGATGTGTTATGTGTGCCATGACACTTCTAATATTCACTTCATATATTAAATAAGCGTACTGGTTAACTCATAGGACGCTGTGATCTATACCTCACTGAAGCTCTGTATCCATTATAAGCACTGTAGCCCTCGCAAAAACCCTATATTCCAAACAAATGCACTATATCCCTCACAGAAGCCATGTATTCCTCACAGAAGCCCTATATCCTTCACAGAAGCTCCATATCCCTCACAGAAGCCCTATATCCCTCACATAAGCCCTATATCCCTCACAAAAGCCCTATATCCCTCACAGAAGCTCTATATCCCTCACAGAAGCCCTATATCCCTCATAGAAGCCCTATATCCCTCACAGAAGCCCTATATCCCTCACAGAAGCTCTATATCCCTCACAGAAGCCCTATATCCCTCACAGAAGCCCTATATCCCTCACAGAAGCCCTATATCC